GATTAGAAAAAATGTTGTATCAAACGTTCGTTTGAAAAGAATAAAGTAATTTAGGTATCATCATCATCATCATCATCATCATCATCATCATCATCATCATCATCATCATCATCATCATCATCATCATTATCATCATCATCATGACGATGATCATCAACAGGTTTTAACCTTCCTCTTTTATGCTGTTGATGATGATAATGATGATTATGATGATCATGTTGATCATAATGATGTTTATATATGCATATATATACAAAATATAATATGAATTTTGAATTTAAAAAATATACTTTAGGATGTATGTTTATGCAGCCCCAGTCACAAACCCGGCTCTGGATAAAGTTATCAAACCCGACCCTGGTTATCACCCCTGATCCTGGCTATCAACCTGGTCATGTAATACTTAAGGCGTACGTAAATCACTTTATGTGTAGCGCTTTAAAACAAGGCCTGATATATGATGTTATGGTCTTATGATTTCAAATAAAACTGTTTTACGGTCAACTTTATAACAGTTTATAATTATTTTATAACAACTTTATAATAATTTATTTGAAATCATAAGACCATAACATCATATGATTTGTACATTTTTTTTTAAATTAACCTCATTAACCTACAAGTTAAAGTTCATTAACCTACAAGTTAAAGTACAAGTTAAAGTACAAGTTAAACCTCATTAACCTACAAGTTAAAGTATAAAATTATCAGAAAAAATAAATCCAAAATATATTTCATTAAAAAACCATACAGTTTTCAAATAAAAAATTCATTCATCTGGAAAAAAAGTATTGTCTTTAGAGCTGCTCAAAATCTGTTTACATTTGTTGGATCTGAATCTGTTTGATCTGTTCTTCAGAAGAATTCTTTTTAATCTTTTTTTTTTTTTTTTTTTTTAATTCACCTCCTCAAGGCCGAGAAGGCCACTACAGACGAGGAGGCTACTTATTTGTGGCTATAACCCTCTCTCAACTCTATAACTCCGAAACACGAACCTTGACGAACAAGGTCGCTGCGCGGAGAAACGAGTTGAGCGCGGTACTACCAGGGACGTGGTGGGGATTGAAAATGGAACCACTTGTTTATGAAGCGAGCGCTCTACCACTACACCACTACCACAATCTCCCGCTCAAACAGCATAAATAAGTTTGGTCTCCACTTTGTGACTAGAGAATCATTCTTTTCATTATCTGAATCAGATTCATAAACTGCAAAATAGTCGCAAAGATATTACTTTGATTTTATTGAGTTAATAATTTTAATTTTTATTTGCTAGTTGAATGAGTTTGTAATTTTCCAAAGATCCTCAACTGTCTAAGAAAACATTTATATGTTGAATATGCATTTTATAAAATTATATAAGTAAGGCTATAATAAAGATACAAAACAATTCTTCACTAGTCGTAAGCATGTAGTCATGTCTAATATTTATATAAACTACTGCATTGAACAACAAATTTTCTTAAAGCACATTTTCTCTATTGATCATAATTTTTAAAAAACTTTAGCTAAGTCACTGTCTTTCCCATCTAATTCACACTTCATTGAATCCAATACAAAAGGAACTCAGTGATTCTCCTGCAGTGATTATCTCACACTGAAGACGAATAGTAAGATCTCGTGTCATTTGCAAGACATCTCTTAATTCTTCCCAAATCCCCCAAAAATATAATTGCAAATTAAATTCTTCAGAAGCTTTTTTTAGTATATTTAGATTTTACATCACTTATCTAATCTAGAAGAATAAAAAAAAAATCAATAAAAGTGTATGAATGTAAGAATCTTTGAATTACATAATAAAATTTTTTTAAATGAAGCAGAATAACAAAAGGTAATAGAAACATAATTTATATTGAATTACCCAGGTTTATAACATATCTGTTAAAACATATTGGTTCTCTTGTAAAACAAAAAGAAAAAAAAAACTTTATAGTTAAATGAATATTACTTAAAATATAAAATAAATGCAAAAATTATTTTTTACCTTGACTAGACTTAACCATTTTGAACTGAATAGACCACTGTGATCTGAAATTGGCACTATATATGGGGCTTGGCCTCTGAGGCAGTGGCGTGCTGGCCCCAGAGGCTATGTGGGAATCCCGCTTGGGCCTATCACTATTTATCCTAGAAGGGCCTTTTTTTTGAATTTTTATTCATTTTTAAAATGATATTTATATTTATTTATCAAATGATATTTTTTATTCCACAAGTTAAACTCTTTAACAAATCTCTGATTGGAACTGTTCGACTTCAAGCGCATATATATTAGTATTTTGCATAATAAAATGCAACCGTTTGTAACTTTTGCCTAAAAACAAAGTCGATACTGGAAAAAATAATTTATCGTTACATCACTTAAATCGCTTATTATATCAGTCATTATATAGATAAAATTATTTAAGTTAACCAGTGATTGTTATGAGAAATAAGTGTGTTTAATTTTAATTTATGGAAAAATATTGATAAATATTTTAAAATATTTGATAAATATTTTAAAATATTTGATAAATATTTTAAAATATTTGATAAATATTTTAAAATATTTGATAAATATTTTAAAATATTTGATAAATATTTTAACATATTGATAAAATTTTTGTTAAATTAGAACGACTAATTGTTTTTTCATAAACAAAAATTGTAATGTTTTTAAATATAAATAATTTGTATAAGTTTTTATAAAATTGCTCTGATTGTATGCTACTGCTATTTAAAAAGTAGTTAAATATTTTTTCTATATATACAAATAAATATTATTTGGTTGCAAAGAAATTTTATTTGGTTACCATAAAAACTCAGTGAAATTTGTTTAATTTTAGGAATGAAAAAATCCAATTATAACTTGTTGCTTTAGTATGTTAATTTAATGATTAAGGTCATATTTATTGGATAAGGTCAGTTTTCTCTCTCTCTTTCTCTGGCTCTATAAAGCTCATGTGTATATATATATATATATATATATATATATATATATATATATATATATATATATATATATATATATATATATATATATATATATATATATATATACATATATACATATATACATATATACATATATACATATATACATATATATATATATATATATATATATATATATATATATATATATATATATATATATATATATATATATATACATGAGCTTTATGGAGCCAGCATGCCCATGCTCTGAAGAAATCAATTCATTTTGAATTTTTTGAAGTTTTGACAACATCTCTTGCATGGCTAATTAATTTTTTTATTGAGGCCTTTTTTCATGCATCATAGCTAGCTGCAAAGTGTGGACAGCACATCCTTGAAGGTGTAAAGCATTCAAGCTATCGGCAAAATGATCACTTTTTAAATTGCTTTAACTTCACTTTTAAAAATATTGAGGAATTTTAAAATATGTTATTCACTGCCACATTATAATATTAACTTTATTGATTTCATACTTATTGATATGTTATATCAATAACACTTTTCAACAATTTTTTAAAAACAATTTGTTAAAAAGTGTTATTGATATGTTATACCAATAACACTTTTTAACAATTTTTTAGCGTTTTCTGTTGTTTGTTTTCCTTTTGTATAAATAGTGCTAATATTAATCACAACAATTTCATTAATGTTCGACTATTGTGCATTTATATCAAGTTAGTGGTGCATGTCTTATTGAAGAATCAACTTTTAAATAAACTAACAGTTTCAATGTTTTTGAATTTCTCGCTGTGTTTTCTAGCAAGATTGCTAACTTTAACGTCTGTTAATCGTTATCTTGCTTTATAAACTTCAACCTTTCTCTTCCGTAACTCTAATAGTGGTTGCTCGCAGCCTTGTCAGAAGTGAAAATGTTAAAAAAAAATTTTGAATTCTCACATTTTTTTATATTTATTTTTGATCCAAAATGAGATGTAACTTTTCTGCAAAATGCCTATATAAATTATTTAAGAATAATAAATTCTTGGCAACGAAAATACAAAAAAATGTAATTTATGTATGTTGAAATGTAATGCAACTAAGACTTGTTTTACAATTAATTAATAATATTAATGAAAAAATAAGTAAAACCTAGAATGAAAGATCTTCAACTAAAACCAGTTAATTTAATGCTTCTAAAGTAGGGACGTTAGGACCAGGGACATTGACCTACAGACTCAAACTACATCCCAGATGAGAATATTAAATAAGATAAAAGAAAACAACTATTAGCACTCTTAAACTGATTTGTCAGTTTTTTACCGAATGTATGTACTTTTACCGAATGTATGTATGTGATTTGTCTGATTGATAGTGAAAAGTATACTCTTCTTTATGATTAAAAAAATTATGACATGCACAAGAAAAATGTATAAAATAAAATTTTTTTATAAATTATAGCAAATTTTATTAGAATATTATGTTATGAAATGTTCATTATTTACTTAATGTATTTTGATAATTCAAAAATATTTCTTGTTGTTGTTATTTTTAAAAAACAAACTTTTTTTTAAGGCAAATCTTAAATATAGATTTGTAAACATATAACTATAAAAAAACTTTTTTTTAAGGCAGTAGCTAAACCTGATCCCATACTAATAACAAAACCAAATCTCATACTAATGGAAGTACCCAAACCTGATCCCATACTATTGTTGGCACTTAAACCTGATCCTATATTAATGGCAGTAACCAAACTTGATCCCAAATGAGCCTGTATAGGTGCCCAAATAAAAAGTTATTTATCATAAATGAATAAAAATAAGAAAGAAAAACACAAACAATGAAAAATGGTCACTTTTTTGTTCAGTAAAAATACAGAAAACAACAACAACAACAACAACAAAGCATTTTAAAATCTGATTATTAAATAAAATTTAGAAAATACAAAGTTTATAAAATTTGTAAATGTGCCTTTGAATTAATAAACAAAGAGGCTGTGTTTTAATCAGCTTTCAAATTTTTAAATAGTAGGGTTGTGTTTAAAATACTTTGCACTTAATTTACTTAATATCAATATCTGTACTCACCTTCCCCATGTATCTTGTCCAGAACATGATAGGGGTTTTAATTCATCATAAGGATATGCATATTTCAAGTAACTATCATATCCATGATAAAACATTTGTCGTGCTTTCTCCCTAAAACCATTAAATAAATTATGAAAAAATTCATTTTAAATCAATAAATAATATAAAACATTTTGGTCATCAATACTAAAACTATTTTTACGGCACAAAATATTTGTTGCATTATTTTATGCATATATAATATTATTTTTACTATATTAATCAAAGTAACAAAACAAGTGTTTTTATGTTAAAAAAACGCTTATGATGTCACTATAGTGATAGATAAACCTTGTCCAAAGTGTTGCAAAAAAGCGCTTCTTTTTGTAAATATATTAGTACATAATACCAAGCCAATTTAATGTCAGACTTAACATTTTAAAGAAATAAACAGTTTCCAAGAAACAGACCACCTTTATCTGATGATTTGTAATTGATTTTTTCATATTTCTTATTTATCTACATTTTTTACATAAAAGCGTTTTACTTTATCAGTATACTTTCAACATGTGTTGTCATTTCGAGTTCCTTTATAGGGAAAATCTTATATAAAAAGAACCCTTTTTGCTATTTTTACTTTGGTTTGTAGGTTTAAATAAATGGGCAACTAAAGTTTTACTTTAGCTTTCCATGTATGGTCAGCTTATTCATAATTAATTACCAACAAGAACAAGAAGAAATCCCTCTGTAATTCAAAGATATCCTCTCTCTACTCTTGAGTTCTTAATACAAAAGGAGGGGGGGAGTAAAAGGGGGAGGTGGGAATATTTCAGATGTAATTAATGAAGAGGGGGGGGGGGGGCTGTCAGGGTAACAATAAAAGTAAGGGGGGGAATTTCTTTATGTTACAATATAAGTTTTTTTTTTTTAATTTTAGTTTATAAATCTGAACTAATATTTTTTACAAAACACACTTAAAACTATTCAATTCTAGTGTGGCTTGCGGTCAAATGCGTATTTTCTAACAGCTGTTTAATCATAATTTAATATGTTGATATAAGTTTTATACTTTGGTGAGAAATTTAAAAAAAAACTCATTTTCAACAATTCGAGATTTACTAAATTAACAATTTTTAAAGCCTGTTTACACTGAATGTTTTTGTTTTAAAATCAGTGTTTAAAATAATGATTTGCTGATTTTTAAGGCTGATTATTTTTTTTTTTAGTTTTAAAATAAAAAGTTTTTGTTGACAAGTAAAAGTTAATAAACAGGGGGGGGGGGGTCTTAATAAGCTTGGGGTGGTTAGGAAATTTTTCAAAATTTAAATAAATGCCCCCTTCCTTTTATGAAGGACTTGAACAAAAAGTGCTATGGGGTTAATTAAGGACTTTTCGGAATAATTTTTTATGTGTAAATTTTGGAAAAACTAAAAAAAATAATTTTACTGCAGCATATTTAGGTCATAATTTTTAAGAACAAATATTTAAAATTTCATAAAAATTGCTTTTTTATTGGTTATAATAAAAATATCTATAAATGTATATTTTGTGCATATACTATCAAGAAAGTGCTCGATGAACTAAGTCAGAGCTATATTATATATAGAAGAAAATAAAACTACAAGATTTTCACAACTTTAAGTTTCATGCTGTTGCAATCATCAGGTGAAATGAAAATATAGTTTGTTCGTAATAATAAAAAAAGTAATGAAGTCTTGCTTGCTTCAGAAATCTATTTGAAGCACTGGAAGAGGACTCAGACTAATCAAAAACACCAGCTTTCGTGTATGCAACAGCCTTCATGAAATGGTCAAATGTAGGCAGTAAAGCATGAAGAACATATAAAAATATCAGTACATTTCAAATCATAACCTTTCATATCCATCATGTATAACTGCACTATCGCCTTTATATTAAATTATTTTCCCTCTTTATACATAAGTTGACCTTATGTACTTTTACTTTTTAACTCTTCAATGTCAGATTTAAGACAGACAAAAATTGAAGAATTTCTCTTGATTCTTCAAGAAATCAAAGGGTCATTCGGTGACTTTTTGCAAATCAGAGGGTCATTCGGTGACTTTTGCAACCATATTAACAAACCTGTTTCTGTTTCAAATGAAAGTGGACAGAACATTGTCTGTATTACTACTGTTAACATTAATTATTTTTTACTTACTTCTGTTAACATTATCTTTTTAATTAAATATTGCATGGCTTCCACTAACATCAAATCCAAACTTTATCTTCATTAGTATATTATCACTGTTTATATCTAAAAAAAAATGTTCTCCGATATCATTTGCATCACCAGTTTAACAGCCTGAAATAGACTAAAGTAAATACCAGAGTAAGATTCAAGATAATTCATAATAATTGGTGATATTCAAACTGTTTATTCCTGAGATGTTTCAAGTTAGGCAATATATTAAAACCAACAACTAAAAAAAGTTTTTTTGGTTTGTATATGAAAACATTAGCAAATTGACATGTTTCTATTGGAATCTTATCAAAAGAGTTATTCTTGTGTTTTCCAGATAAAAGATCATAACCAATGTCTGATACATACTCATCTTGAAATCTTGTTAATAACATCACATAAACAACAAACTAAAATTGCATTGTATAATAATATTCTCTCTAAGGACAATTCTAAAAATTCTATTTAAAAAGTATGTAAAATGAATTTTTTAAATCTTCATCTTATTATATATTAAAATGTTAGTATGTTGTATTATGTTAAATATGCTTAATTTTCTATATGATGGAGCTTTTATATAAACAATTTAGAAAAAAAAAATTCAAAAAATATTAGAATGATATACAGAGCTAAACCATTTCTTAATTTTTTATCAGAAAAATGTTTATATTTGCTTTTATTCATAGTTACTTAACATATTGTAACATTGTTTAGGCAAGTACCAACCATACCAATCTAAAAAAGCTTTACAGTAAATAAAAGCACGATTATTAAATTGCATTTGGAGCTAAGAGAGAAGAACCTAGCAAACTCCTGTGTTTACTTGGAGCATTAAATATTTATAAAATCAATTTACATCAAATTTTAGTCTTTATGTATAGAACTAGACTGGAATTGTTGTCAAAAAATATTTGAATCCTATTTTAGTGAAATCTGTCATAAATACACAAGATTATCGAAGAACAACTTTGTTGTACCAAAATATAGTTTGAAATTGAGGCCTATTTATGGAAAACATTTTCAGACAAAGTTAAAAAAAATTTATGGAATTTCCGTTAAAATTTATTAACGGCCATTAACTTATTTTAACAGACATTAAACTCTGTTAACAGCCGTTAATTAAAAGATACAACAAAACAAATATGTATACTTTTAAATGCAAACAAAGTAATATTGGTAATTAAACCAGTTGAAAATCAGATATGTATATTTTTAAAAACAAACAAAATAATATTAAAACACCTAGACAGTCCTTAGTAAAAAAATAAAAGCTATCACTCTTTTTTTTTTACAGAATTGTTCATTTTCCAGTTTTTCACTTTGATATTCTCAAAGTTCTCATGGCAAAACACTTATTGTTTTATTGTGTCAATGCAGCTTTTTCCTGCTACAAATTACGATATTTCCTGGCGATCTGAAAACCCTTTCAGATGGGATGCCGTTAGACTCGCAGTTAAATGAAGATTCTCACAATTGTTGTAAAAATATCAAGATAACCTTTAAAGACATTTATCTCATTGTGTTAGATGGTTATAGAGTAGGGATGAATATTAAATGTTAACCCTGATTTTAATTGATATTAAAACAATATATTCTTAAAATAGACATAAATCAGCAGGAAAATTTCTTAAACTTTATTTCTGTTCAGAAATTTTGGTATTAAACAAACATTTCGACTAAAAACAGCAACAAAGCAAAAATATAAAAGAAAATTTAGCCATACATGGTGTGCAGATTAATGATTGATTATCTTTTTTTTTTGTTCGATATAGTGAATTTCTACAACATCAACCTTTGTTAACTCTGACAAGATCTTGCAGTCACCATTGATGTTTAACTGGAATACTGAGCTTATTTATAATACTTTTTTTTTTTTGCTTTTTATCTTTGTATTTCCCACTGTATCTTCATTATATTAGGCATTGAGCCTGTCAATAAATTTGATTGACTGTATTATATTAGGCCTTGAGCCAGTCAATAAATTTGATTGACAATAATTTTTTTTTGTATATAAGTAAAAGTAAAACGTGTGCTTTCTTTTTTTTGTACTTGACTATAATGTTTTAAAGGAAAAGTACGTTTTTCCAGGAAGCTGTGTAAATCACAAGGTTTAAAAAAAGTTGGTACGTCTGTTCATATCAAAACTTAATTAAAAAACAACCTGTAATGCTTTTTATCTTTTGTACTCATCCAGCAAAATGCCGTGGAAAGAAGCATTAATAACATCATAAAATCATTTTTGTTTAACATGATTTTAGAACTTTTCATTTATTAAAGTTTATTGATTTTTCATTGTTAGGTATGTTTAGGTGCACTCTCGCATACAGTGCCAAATCGGCCGCAAAGGAAATGTCCATGTGCGTCCTCAATTTTTTTTTTTTTATAATCAATCTTCTTTCAAATAAGAGCACTGATCATTTCTGAATCAGAGCGCTTGTTCATTTGGTTGCTGTAGCGAAAAATGAACAGTTTAAACGTAGTAGCAGCCCCTAAACCTGCAACCCTAGTGGCGCAAGATATTATGTTTACCAATGCGACTTTTAACAGCAGCTACAAACAGTCCGTTGGTAAAACTCTAAAACCCGCAACTCTAATTTCTTTTGAAAAATGGATTGCTGATCTTAAGAAGATTTCGCCAACTACCTTTTACCAAAACTTGATCACAACATTATTTGATGATCTCCTTAATACCTTAATTAATCTCTCCAACTTTTTGAATATCTTATTGAAATATGAAGTCTATTGAAAAATGATGCCTCCGTCACATCGAAAGAGGCATCTCGTATCAGCAATTGTCAATCTAAACCTTTTAAAGGTGTTTTCATTCAGGTGGTTTGTACGTCTATTTAGTATTTGCAGTTTAATAATTTAAATAAATTTTTTTGAAGTTAAAAAATTTAAGTAATGGATTTATATTTTGCAGTAATAGCAAAATTTAAATCCATTATTTAAATTTTTTAACTTCAAATTATAAAAACTAAATGAATACATTGCCTAAAGATCGGTTTGATAAGCCTTTACGCTGCATAATCTGTCAAAGAACTCAAACTGTTCACTGAGTTGGCGTTGTAAGATCCAACGAAGCTTAAAAATGTTTTTCTACGCCTTAAAATCTTTGCTACGCCATTACCAATCTATTCTTTCAACTCAATCAACACTTAGCTAATCTCAATGTCCACTTGTCAGTGGCGGATTAAGACTTCTTGGGGGCCGGGGCTATTTTTGTTTTTGGAGGCCTTTTTTATGGGCCAGAGTCTAAAAATGACTAAAAAGTAAAAAAAAGGCCCTCTAAAATTTTTTTGGGCCCCTAACTTTGCGGAGCCCGGGGCTATAGCTCCCCTAGCCCCCCTTGATTCGAAACTGTCATTTGTCGAAACATACCCATTAATCCCCAAGACAACGCCGCTAATCAAAAAATTCTTCTACAAAAATCTAATTTTAGACTAATTAATTATAACTTTGTCGATTAACAAATGTTTTGTTAGATTTGAATTTATCTTTCTACTCATTATAAAAAATTACAAAGCATCTCTCCATGTTTTACATGTTTATGTAATAAGTAGGCAAATCAAAATTTCAAAATTTTAAACTGAACTTTATGTTTAAAAATTACCAAGATAAATGGAGCCTAATATTATCTTTCTAAAGATGTCTTTAATATGATTATACATTAAATAAAAAAAAAGTTATTTAGCTTTAAAGAACCAAAATAATTTAAAGAGATAAAAATTATAATTAAATATATAAAAAAATAAAAATTGAAAAAAAAAGGTCAATAGATTACTTTCCGTGCAACGTCATATTTTTTGTAAACAACATGCGCGCGCATACTTGTAGACAAACTTTACAAGTATACAATCCCAGTTAACACGGACGTAAAAAAGACGTCTTTTAAACGTCTTATATGCGTTTTAGAAGTCTTTTGAACGTTCAAAAGACGTCTTTTTTTGGTCCGGTGCCCACTGGGATGTATACTTTACAAGTATACAATGTATACTCTACAATTTTAAATGTATAATTACTTTAGTTCTTTAAAACTAAATAACTTTTTAATTAACTTAAATTTTTAAATAACTCATGAATGTATACTATACATTCATAAGTTCATAATATAAATAGACTTTATATTTATTTTTTGCATTTCTTTTATATTCTTAAATAAAATTTGTCTTTTTTTTGAAAAGTGATTGAAATAATTATTTAGATAAAAAATGTAACTAATTACATAAATAATTAGTTACATTTTTTTTTTATATTTTAAAAATAAGTGTTTTTATTATTTTTATAAACTTGGACTTCTATTAGAAACATTTAAGTATATATTTTATGTTTTTCTGTAAATTTAATTTTCAGATTAATTACGTAAAACAACTACAAAAAACAACAAAAATTCTTATAAGCTTCTTTACTTATTATTGCTTTTAAAAATTTTTTGAAATTTAATAAATAACATCATCATAATTGAATATTTTTAAATAGTAGTAATTTAGTATTCGAGGTGCAGTGGCTAGAGACACCTAGAGAGCCTATATACTTAAAGGGGCGACATACGGAAAACGGCGGCTATGTTTTTGCCAGAAAAGGTCTCTAAATTACTAGGTCAGTGTAAACCTGCCACAACAGATAAAATACAGAAAAAATGTGACACTACTATACATGACCAAGTTTGTTTGTATTCCTCTGTCCATAAAGCCTCAATAAATACATAAATAAAAAACTGTATTTTTTTTTTTTTTTGCTAACTTTTTGTATTATGTGCTTATTTGCATAATGGTGTTAGTATTTAATGAGATGTGGTTTTTATGCAAGATATGAACATGAAAAAATAATTTCATTACTACTGGAATACAGTTTATAAACAAATTTATTTGAAAATAAATTTAGTAATTAAATATAAAAAAATTATTTAAAAAAATTGCACATCAAATAAGATACTAAACACGCCTAAATGTATTTTTTTATACTTTTATTTTGACTTTTTAATATAAGTACTTTATGTGGTTAAAACCTATAATTGGTTTGAAAATTGAGGGAAATCGATCATAATTTATTGGAAGACACCCTGATTAATGATGATTAAATTTTTTATTTAAACTAAATGCTAATTTTTTTATGGTTCCTGGCACTCTAATAAGTTGGGGGTACTTTTTTTTTTATTTTATTTTGCAGCTTAATGTCTATGGTTCCACACTTGTGTGGCTTGTAAATAAGAAGAGTAAAATGAAATTGAGAACAGTAAAGTTGTAATTAAGAAACTTAAGATGTAATTGAGAACACGAATATTGTTAACAAGAAATTGTAAGATAAAAGTATTGAGCATAAATTCCCACTGTTTTACTTCTTGCTTCACAGGCTTCAAGATGAAATATAGTAGTTTTTACAACTATAAATCTCCTGTAATTTTATTCTTGTATAGTTCCAAAGTCTCAACTTTTTCAATGCTCTAACACTAGAAGTTATGCAAAAATAAGGATTTTGTGACTCTATATACCTGAACATTTTCTACAAATATAACTTATTGTTTTTGGATAGTTTCTGATTTAGTAAAACAAGCTGTGGCTGATAATGTTTGAACGTATTTTCAGAGTGTGATTAAACAGTTGGAGGAAATTAAATCAGAGTTACGTGTACAACGCCAAAAGCAAGTGTCTCTTTGTTATAATTCGAGTGGAAATCTTCCAGCAAACTTTATATTTCCATTAAAAGAAATAGATGAACTCTTAGAGTTAAATAGGATTTTTCTGGAAGATACTGAATGTCGATCAAATACAGTAAGTCATAAAAAATATAAAAGTTTACTTTAATATTTTTTATATTATATAATGATAATATAAGACTTACTAAATATACTAATTTGAGTTCTTAATTTAAAAAAGTTTTAAAAGTTTAAAACTTTCTTAAATTAAGTATATCTCAAATTAGTATATTTTTTCTATTTAGAATTGACTTCATATAGATAAAACATATATTCTCATCATCGCCATCATCATCACCAGGGGTGTGGATTCGGAGTCGGAGTCGGAGTTGGAGTTGGAGTTGAGGAGTTGCAACAATTTTAACGGAGTCGGAGTCGGAGTCGCTAAAAAATATCGCGACTCCGATAGTAATATTTCTTGATATTGCACGTGTATGTACAAAACATTCAATTAACCTTATGTTCATACTAAACCTCAAAGAACGTTGCATAAATTTGTCAAAAAAAAAATTTCAACTTATTGTGCATTATTCATTTTTTTTACGATTCCATACCCCTGATCATCACAATCATCATTATCATCATCGTCATCATCATTATCTTCATCATAAATATTCTATAATAAATTCTTGTATTATGATTATTATAAGGATCACAAAAAAAATTTTCCATCACCTTATTATTGCACATTTTATTATGCAGATGCAGTAAGAAAAAGCTATTCAACATCAACAGCTAGTCAACTGGACAAATTACGTTCAAAATGGCTGTCAGGGTCTATTGACAGAGATTGACTAAAAAAAGCTTGAGAAGTCGAAAAAGTCAAAGAAAAGTCAAAAGTTTTTACTTTATTTAAAGTTGTTGTTTTTTTTATCTGTTTTTAATCTTATTTGTAATTTTAATATATCAATTCTGAATATACGAACGTATAAATATATTAGTTGTAATATTTAAGTGATACTTGTAATTAACAATAATATATGAATTATGTATTTTATGATAATTCTGATTAACAAATATATATTTAGTTATTCATTACTATTAATATTAGTTATAATTAAATTAAAGATAAAATTATTTAATTAAAATATCATAATGAATAATTTTTCAATCATAATAATAATATGCATTCATATTATTTTAATGATTCAGAAATCATTATGATAATTATAATGAAATAATGAACGATGTAAAGCTAATTTGCTTTTGAATATTTTAATAACAATTGTCAATAATTTACCATTTTTCGCCAATATTATGCAAATGTTTTGCCTCTGTTGGACATTTGCTGAACCAATATTGGGCCGTGATTAGCCATTTGAAACCTTTATTGGCCCAATATTGTAGCTATGTTTTAACCAGCAATCTGCCGATATTTGCCCAATAAATGCCCAATTTGCGCTCCTTAGTATTTGCCCAATGTTTGCGGCCAATATTGACCCAATATAGTAACCAATAATTGCCTAATAATGGCCCAAGGAATTTGTGCTATCTGGGTCGAAATTTTGTGAACTTTTCATCAGAAAGTAGGGGAATTTTTATAAGGGTCAGATAAGTCATGGAAAATAAACAGGAAAGTTTGCTGGCCACCTGAATATATACATTTTCATCAATCAACTACAATCATATTAAAATGATCAAAAGCATTCTTATTCAACATGGTATTATCAAATAAATTGAGTGATTCTCGCAGTCATATAACTAACAAGAAACATTTTATACATCAAATTCCTTTAATCATGAACATTACGTAAGGAACATTAGAAAGCTGTCAAGATTTTGCGTCCAGATAGTTTTGGTCTTTTGTAAAAGCATTTTTGTAAAAGCAAATATTGCCCCATTAGCATTTTTAACATTAAATTCTCGTTGTAATGAATTAATAGTAATAAATTAAAAATCAAGCTGGTATAGAAAACTTTGTTCAGCAAACTAATAAATATGGTAAGCAAGCATAAAGTCATTAGGTTTAAGCTTTTGATAAAAGTTCATTTTGATATAGTAATCTGTCTGAAATACAACCACTCCAGCTTTTAATTAGTTTAATTTTATTCAAATTAGTTTCCTCAGCAAACTATTTGCTGTTTTTTGTTATATACCAGTTACAAATTTAATGGTATCAATATGTTTATAACTGAACCAAGTTTGCTAACGTAGAGTTAAAAATTTTTCTTGGAATAAAAACTTCAGTACAATCAATAATACAAAATAGGGTGTATCGAAAAACAACTTTTTTGAATTTTAAATTGTAGTTATAATTTAATACTTATTTTTTATTACAGAAAATCTTAAGTAGATTTTAAATTATAAAAGCTAAAAGCACTTAATTGGGATCAAAGGTGCATACCAGTATGCTCTCTTGATCCTAATTTTTAAGATAAAGTTTTCTTTTTTTTTGTCATAAAGATTATGTTTAGCGTTTCATGATGTTTTTTCTTTTTTGATTGAGATTTTTTTTTATTTCCTGTAACTTATTTAGTTCCTTTTTTAAACAGGAGTGTTTGTGACAATGACGTATAAATATAACTAGATGTGTGACTTTAAGATTTTTGCCGTACCGCAAGATCGGTATGGCAAAAATCTTAAATTCTGAATGTGTTACATATATGACTTATTTAAACTGGATGCAAGTTTTCAAAGAGGTTTTAACTGTTAAATTTTTAAGAGATACTACTTTTTGAAAAATTGCTGCTAGATTTTTAACCATTAGACTCAAAACGTCAAAAATATTATCTCGAACTTATTCAAGGAATAAATGTAAGTCTTCGATTTGGTTAAAAAAGAGCCTTTTTGTTTAAAAATTTTTAAAATTTACGGATTTTGATTCGTGCCTACTTTTAATTGAATATTTTTAAATGTACCTTTTATTACTATACAGTCTACTGTTTTACTTTAGGTTTTCTACTGTTAAAATATGATTTTAATGTTGTAAATTTTCATGATTTGAAATTTGCTTTATTAATCATTATAGAGGCCTTAAGAACCTTAAGCATTAAACGGATACCCAATATCATCAATATTTCAAATATAAGTCATGTCTGGTCTCAAAAAAAATATAATTCTACAAAAATCTTAAGTATATTAGTCATTTGTATATATATATATATATATATATATATATATATATATAAATTATAATGTATATATTATAATAAAATATATATTATAATGTAAAAGCCATAAACAAATACAATCTTCGCAATCGAAAGAATCTACAACAACCTTTCTGCCAAACTAAATTTGAACAACTAATTATTTCTTATCGGCTGAACAGGCAAAACACCTTAAGCCGAACCTGATTACAGACTTGACGTCAATAACAGAACATAACTGAAACAATAACAGAATCTGGATCTACAACACCTGGAAATGGATTAGCAGTAAAAGGGTCTGGACGGTCTGTTACATATAAAGCCAAAAACTCATTATCAGAAAATATGTTAGGATTAAAAATTTCAATTCCTGCCAAAGCAAATCATGCGAAAATGTTAGATAGAGTAAAAGCTTGTGCATAAGCTTTCTTTACAACTTCAGCTGTATTATATATGGTCATTGGCCTTGGATTAGATAAAACCCAATCATCACGGCCTGCATTGTATTTAATTTTCACCAACTTTACCTCTAGGCAGGACCGGCTAAGGACGGGGCTAGCATAGCCGCGGCCTAGGCGCCAAACGTAGGAGGGCGCAAAATTTCCCAAAAAATAAATAAATAAAAATGTTAAAACTTTCTCTGTAGAAAACATTGAACACAGGGATCCAGCAACATGGTCTAAAGTATGGGACAAAATAAGATGTTCTTTGATTCAGTATGGGTTATAGCAAAATTTTGTTAACAGAATGCAACACTTTAGCACAATTTGGTATGAAAAACTTTATTATAATTTGTTACTGTACAGTAATACAAAAAACTTGATTACAGTAGTCTCTCGCTTAGTTGCGCAAATTGAAACAGGCACTGCGGTGCACAATTAACTAGGAGTGCGCAAATAAAAAAAAGAAAACTAAATTATTAACTAATAAACAAATCTTAATTAGGAAATTTATTATGCATGACGGAATAAGTCATAAATTGTAGGCTGATATGCATCATGCAGCTTTTCTCGTTTAATTTTCATAATTACTGACCGTATGTTTGATGATAGTTGTTCGTAGCTATTTATTAATTTATCGTTGTGGTCTTTTAAAATTGTTTTAATTTTTTGACATTTTAATTGCTTGCCAATATCGATCAGAGATAAATGTATAAATTCAATACCTAAGAAGTCTGTGCAATCGTCTATCTCATCATTATTAGCTTCTTCTTCATCAGAATTGTTATCCATAGCAACTGCATTAATTTCTTCGAGAGACAAACAATCTTCAACATCTTCCTTGATTGCTTTAATATATGTTGAAGAATTTTTACAGTCAATTGATTCAAAATTGCTGATATCTTCCGAGCTGATGTTCCCTATTCCTTCAATTTCGTTCAGCAGCGAGAGCATATTAAAAGATGCAAAGTCAGCCTCCTCTGAGCATAATTCAGTGTTAACGGGACTGAAAATCTGAAATAATTCTGTCTTGTCGAAGCAATTTTTGAGAGATAAAGGTTGAATTGATTTCCAAGCCAAATCGAAATACTTAGCAGCGTCAAGAAGATGTGCGGTCTTCTAGTATTCAACTCCTGCACCTCTTTTGCACAAAAGACTATTTTCTTTCAGGCATTCGAGGCTGTAATATGACAATATGTCTGAGAGACATAGATATTTATATCGCTTTTTGAGATCCGCAATAACCCCTATATCACATGGTTGCTATAAAAAGTAAGGATAAAAAAAATCGGAATAAGAGAACTGTGCCATAAGAAGGATAAAAAAGTTGGAATAGGTAAATATAATAAGTTAAGATAAGTAAGAATAAGTAAGAAAAAAAAAGTTGGAATTAGAGAACTGTGAATAGACAGCTAAATCTAAAATGAAATTTTTTTGTTAAAGTTTTTTCAATGATAAATCGTTAAAACTTATGGAACTTTTTTCCCAGTTTAAAGAGTTCGAGATATCGAGAATCAACTGTATTTTTTAAACAATTACTTTTAAACACATTGTTTTTCCCGTTACCACGATTTACAAATCGAAAATGAATCCGTGATAAAGCGGCTGAATAAAGAGCAATCAGTGCTATTATGTGCTAAATGAAGAATAATAAACTACATGAGGAATAATAAACTACAATTACAATTGTGCATTTACAAAACGGTGTAGAATACTATTAATTTAACCTTATTTTATCATAAATAATAAAATGGCTCCATTAAAATTGAAACAAAAACATTTTGCATATCAAAATAATAATTCAAAACGATCTAAAGAAAACTCTTTAAATGTTAAGGTAACTTTTCTATGTTTGGGTATTATATATATATATATATATATATATATATATATATATATATATATATATATATATATATATATATATATATATATATATATATATATATATATATATATATATATATATATATATATACATATATATATATAAAGGCGTATTTTTTGCATGGAATACATTAATTTCATCATAACAAATTATGATGAAATTAATGTATTATATAAAGAAACAACTATGTTGACAATAATGACATTGTTAAAATTATTTTTCCTAATAGACAATTAGGTGCAAGTGTAAAAATGTTTAAATCTGTATGTAATAATAAGTATTTAAATTTCTATATAATAATAAAACTGTGTATTTAAATTTCTATATAATAATAGAATAAAACTGTAATTTAATATGTTTAAGTAAAAAAAATGTAAAATTAAAAAAAAAATTGTTTTTTCGATAAAATAAAACTTCAGATAGTCTTTTGATCTCAATTTAAGATTTTTTTACGTTGTATACTAGTGCTTTAAAGTAATTTTTTTAGTGGCGTTTTTGTTTTTGTGTAGATTTAAAAATAATTAAATTAAATTTTAAGATTCAAATAAAAAGAAAATATCAATCAAAAATTATGTTTTTGCTCCTAGTTGTCAATTATATTTAGTTCTTAATTTTTACATTTGCCGACATTTACTAAATCTTGTATTTCATCTCAAATGTGAGGTTCTAGAGATTTTTGGAAAATCTTCAACAGTGTCATTAACTAAAGTAAGTCCTATATTTAATCTCTAATTCAAGGGTCTGATCTTATTACTTCTCTTCAAAAACTTTTACAAAAGTGTTCTCCAGAATTTTCTTCAATTCTTGCTAAACTTTCTTCAATTCTTGCTTCAATTCTTGCTAATTAAGTATAAGTGGTTCCAGTTTTTAAAAACTCTAGAAAACACTTTAACCTTTTAAACTATCCTACGATTTGTCTTCACTCTATTATTAGTTTCTTTGTATAAAGATTTTGAGATTATCAAATGATATTTTTCTAACTGCAGTACTAAAGTCATTCTTAAAGGCCAATACTCTTTTCATTTTCAGTTACTTTATGGGTACTGCAAGGTTCTTTGCTTCAGTATTGTTTCTCATGTACAATAACAATACCCATCTTACATCTAAAGTGTTTTATTTGCTGAAAACTTAACTTTATACTCTTTTCTTGACAAAAATTCTTCACTTTTTGATTGCTTAGAACAAGCAGCCATTTTTAAATCTGATTTTCTGTAACAGCTTGGGGCTTTATGCAACGTGGGAATTTATATAACCTACAATTTTTTAAGTCTTGAGCTTACCATTTAGTTGCTCTTTAACCCTATTCTCTATTTTCTAGTAACTCATAACTGTATAGTTGTTGCTTGCAACCTTGTTAGAAGTAAATTAATTTACATGTATGTATATATATATATATATATATATATATATATATATATATATATACATATAAGTATATCTATATATCTATATCTATATATCTATATCTATATCTATATATATATATATATATATATATATATATATATATATATATATATATATATATATATATATATATATATATATATATATATATATATATATATATATATATATATATATATATATATATATATATATATATATATATATATATATATATATATATATATCTATATATATATATATATATATATATATATATATATATATATATATATATATATATATATATATATATATATATATATATATATATATATATATATATATATATATATACATATGCCAATATTTAATAAATAGTAAATGTATAATATAAATTTTTTCCTAGCCCTATATAGGGGTTATCAACCCTACTAAATCTTATAATTTTGCTAAGGCCAGGTTTGCAAAAGCAATTTTTATTAAAAATAATTTTTTTTTCTAAATTTGTTATTGCTGGACATAATTACTTATCTTGGTGAAGCAAAAACCCCCAATTTATTTGTAGTAAAAGGTAGGGAGAGCTTGTAATAATTTGGCTGGTTTTGGATGATCACAATAAAAATACTCAGTCCTGATCTTTCAAAGTAAATAAACACTTAAAAGGGCATAAAAGGGCATATTACATGTTGTAAAAATTGCTTTAACCTTTCTCATGTTGTTTAAAAAAGAAAATGACATTGTCGTCAGCAGCAACAGAGCATTTTGAGGTAATATCAAGTCTGTATTGAATAATTTAGATAATTTTATTAAAATTTTCAAATTCAAAAAAAAAACTTCTGATAAAAATTGAAGTCAAAACTTGTTAGAATTTGTTATTTCCCATTAATAGTTTTGGTTCTGAGATATAGTAAAGGAGTTTAAGCTGTTTGAAGCAAGTTGAGTTCAAACACTAAATTTAAATAAGATTTATGCTGCTCTCAAAACAGTTTAACATATTTAAAACTAAATTATTTAATTTAAATACTGTTATGATTTTTAAATAATACTGTAAAGTAAAATAAATTATGTAGTTAAAAAGAAAAATTGATCTAAAATATTTTAATAACTTTTCTAAAAATTTTGGCTAAAGTAAAGATTTTTTCACAAATACTGCACAATACCGATGTATACTGGTATTGTAATATTTTAAATACCAAAAGCAATATTAGAGGCTCCTGGTATTATAGAAATTCTACAAAAAAGAAACTTTCAACCCCTTCAAATTTGAATGTAATGTTTGCTGCATCTTCAGTAATAACTTTGTGATATGACATCTATTGAAACATATATAGATGTTTCTCTAGATTTAGTTTCTAATTGCCTTTCTCATTTCCATACAAGTGTATTTAAATTGAAGAAAATTTTTGTTTAGTTTTGATTAAATCAATTACATTTTTTTAATATTAAAGTTGCATTAACTTAACCCTTATTACAGAAAATATTAGAATTTATTTATAAATTTAAAAAAAATGTATATAAAACTTGAAAGCTGAACACATAAATTGTAAAATATACATTATAATGGAGGGTTAATAGTAAAATTGTATGCTGAATTTCCGTTTATTTTACCCATAACAAAAGTTAGGTTCATTCCCCTAGCATTTTGAGGTTATATAACATTTTGTGGTGGAATATAGAAAGTGCAAATAATAAGTTATATTTAACAGGAAAAATAAACAAGTTTTACAGAATTTCAAATTATATGAACAAACATAATTTTATGGTAAACATGGCAATAAAATTACTCATTAGCTTAGTACTAACAAAATTATGTATCAATTATTATATAATCTGACATTCTGAGGTTTGTAACAATAAAAGTTTACTTTAGTCGTTAAATTAACCTCAGTAAAGACTAGGGTTAATTTACTTTTTTACATTTTCATATATTCAATTGTAGCTATCTCCATCTGCTTATTTGGCTGATATGAAATTATCAACAGATGAACTTTGGAAAAAAACTTTCAAAACAAAATCACCAGAAATTGTTGAGCTTTTTGATTATTCAGAAGTTACTCTTCAAAAGGTTTATTTTTTAATTCAAAGTTGTTTTATTGAAGAAAATAGTTAAAAAATAATTTTAGTTTTAATTAACAATACTTTTAAAACACTTTTTGATACTGTTACTAATTGTTTATAAAAGTTTTTTATGTCATTTTTTAGCCATCTACTGTTCCAATAGATTGTCCTCTCTTCCAACATTTTCCGTCACAAATAATATTTCAAAACTTTGATGCATTTGATATTTATCAAGTTCCGTTGCAACTACGAAATAGAGACAATGTTTTTAATTTTATTATGTTTTAAATTTGGATTCCATTTTTTACTTATTAAAGTTTTTAATGTTCCTCTTTTTATCAAACAGGTTGCTAGATTTGTGAAGCTTGTTCTAAAAGATTCACCGTATTTTACTATAGTTAATCCAGCTGGTATGAGCAGCAAAGTGGCTCCAGGAATCGAAGTTATTTACTATATTAAGTTTACTCCTCTTGAAAAAAAGGTTTTTTGCTTTTTTATATTTTTAATTTATTTAAACTATGTTGATAGTATTTATTTGTGGTCGAAATTTTTTTATTTTATTATATATTTATTATTTAACATATTGTATAACATTATAACTTATAGTTTAAGTATATCAAATTAACATTAATATACAATTAATATTATTTAAATTATTAATATTAATTAACTATACTTTATCTATCATTATCTTGTACTAGTAATTATGCTATAGTATTTTATTTATCAAAATTGCAATTAATTGCATGTGAACTATCAACAATAGCACCAATATGCAGTGGAGAGATTCCATTAAAATAAGTAGAAAAAAAATTATTATCCATGTATTTATGTGTACAGTAAGCTTTAAAGAGACTTTTTTATTTTATTTAATAATTTATTTTTTATTTAACAAATTTTAAAATTATTTTACAGTTACAAATAAAAAAAAATTAAAGCTAAATCACTTGGTTTTTCCCAATAAAACACCAGTCAACCTAGTTAATGGAACAAAAAATACATTTCAATCAAATTTTTAATACAAATACAAATTTTTTAAAAATCAAACACAATAGAAATACAAGTACAATGTTATAGCCAAATATGAGTACAAATATTTATTTGACCCCAACCCTGATGTTCACTATTAGTACTACAAATTGCTAACAAACTTATCCTAACCTACTGAGCTAAAAGGTTTCCTGTTTTTCAATAATCCAGTCAATGCTACCAAGGTAGTTTAAAGTACTCATAGCTTGAATGAAAATGTCAAACAACTTTTTCTTGTTTAGAGTTCAAAAGAAAATTTATAAATTTTAGATGTATAGATTCAGCTTCTCTAATTAAACTAAGTAGAAATGATGATTATAATTTCACCCTTGATATCTATTATCAAGTATCATTTCTATTAAGTACTTTTTTTATTCGATGCATCCCAAAATGTAACATACTTTACACTAGGTAATTTTAATTTCATAATGATTTTTCTTTGTTTTATCTGACTTGAATTCTAGTTATAATGTAAATAAGTGTTGCCTATTTTTAATGGACTGTATTATTCACTATATTTATTGATTTTTTCCTACTGTGTGTGATGTTTACTTTAGACTTTTATTATTTGTAATCGTTTTATCTATATATAATTATATAAATAGTTATATATATAACGTATATATATATATATATATATATATATATATATATATATATATATATATATATGTATGTATATATATATATATATATATATATATATATATATATATATATATATATATATATATATATATATGTATATATATATATGTATATATATATATGTATATATATATATATATATATATATATATATATATATATATATATATATATATATATATATATATATATATATATATATATATATATATATATATATATACATATATATATTTATTTATTTATTTATTTAATAACTGTGTACATGTACAATAACAATGTATGGAGTCTAGTTGATCAGGCTTTAACAGCCGATTTACGTTAAAAATAAGTCCAACTTTGATTTATATTGTTTAAGTGTTTTAGAATCTACAATGTTTTGATCTAAGTTATTCCAGCTGTTAATAACATGGTTCGTTAAGAAATAGTACCTCTTCGTATTTTTAGTTAATTGACTATAGAACCTCATATTGTGTCATATTTAAAGCTATATAAGCTTAAATCTGGTGGGTATTCCAATGTTAAATTATCTATTTTTTTTACTATTTTGTAAATTTGGATTAGGTCATTACGTTCGCGTCTTTTTTCAAGAGTCATTAATTTAAAGTAGGTTAGTCTACTTTCATAGTTTTTCTCTTGTTCTAAGTAAGGATACCACACTGAATTTGCGTAGTCTAGATACGGTCTTACAAGAGAGGTGTACAATAATTTAGATGCGTTTATGTCTAAGTTTTTAAATGAATGTTTTATTATTCCTAACATTTTATTTGCTTTACCAGACACATAATTAACTTGACTAGACCATTTTAAGTTGTTTGAAATCATAACCTCTAAATCATTTTCAATTTTTGTTTCTGGCAGCTCAACTCTATTTAACACTGAACCACACATTGCGTACATATGCTCAGTATTTTTACTACCTATATGCATGCGTTTACATTTGTTAAATTTTAATAGCCATAATTTTGACCATGTCATTAATTTGTTTAGATCTGTTTGAGTCTTTTCTATATCAGAAGATGATTTAATTACTTTAATTAGTTTAATATCATCAGCATACATTTTACAGTTCGTTGATAACTCATTCGGTAAGTTGTTTATATTAACAACAAACATAAATGAACCCAAGACAGACCCTTGTGGTACTTTACTTGTAACTGGAGATCAATTTGAAAATTCTCCGTTGCAGACAACACGTTGCACTCTGTTACATATGAAATTTTTGCACCATCTAACTGCTTTATAGTTAAAACCATAACTTTTTAGTTTAAGACAATCTGTTGTGAGTCGAAAGCTTTTTTCATATCCAGAAAAGTAATATCTACTGGTAAATTATCTTCCATTGCTTGAGTTATTAGATCCATATATTCTATAAGGTTTGTACAGCAGTTTTTTTTTTAGAAAATCCATGCTGTACCTTAGTCAAGAGATTGTTATTTTTTAAGTGCGACAAGAACGTAGCTCTTAAGACACGTTCCACCACTTTACTTATAATTGAAGTAAGTGATACTGGTCGATAACTTGATAGTTCTGATTTATCTCCACTTTTAAATAATGGTGTTAGATTAGTATTTAACCACATTGATGGAATTATTCCTGTGTCATACGATTTATTAAAAATAAGTGATAAAGGAAGGAAAAATGCATCTGCACAACATTTTAAAGAAAATGGGTGAACTCCATCTACTCCTGTACATTTATTTGGATTTAGTGACTTCAGGATTATAGAAACTGTCCGGTGAAAATGCTGGGTCCTCACAAATAATGTTTGTCCTATTTTTAAAGAATGGTATATTGTCACTAATTTCATTGGTGAAAACAGGGCTAAAATAGTTATTTAAGGAATGTGCTATTGATAAATAATTTGTTTCAAGTTTGCCGTTTACATTTAATGCGTTAATTCCTTCTTTAACTTTTGATTTTTTGTTTATATATGCATAAATTGCTTTTGAGTTTTTTTTAATGTTTAAGGCGATGGTAGTTTCATATAATTTAATTTGGTTCTTAATTTCTTTTTTTACTTTATTTCTAATTGATTTGTATTCTAATACATTTCCTTTGTTTAAAAAACGATTATGTAAACATTTTCTCCAGAGGTTTCTTTTCTTTCTAATTAACTTTTTTAAGTTAGAGTTCATCAAAGACGCTTTTGTTTTAACAACTTTCTTTGTAATTGTTGGAATGAAATATATAAGTCCTTTATTGTAAATATCGACAAATTTGTTGTATGAAACATTAGCATCTAAATTTTTGAATTCAAGATGCCAGTCATAGCTATTTAACATATCGGAAAAGCCATTATAATTGCCTTGTTTGTACAGAGTTATATTTTTTTTACTGTTTCCGTTTTTTTTTAGTTATTTCTAAAGCTATATAAAAACTTTAGGATCTGATGACCGTGACTAAGTGCACCCAAATTATCAAAATGGTTCAAATCAATTATTCTTTTGTTTGATTCTGTTAATATTAGGTCAAGAACATTAGTGGATTTAAATTCATTAATTTGAAAAGTTGGTTTAATTACGTTTTGTGTTATAAAACAATCATTTACACTTTTCAAGAACTTTTTAGCATATATATCTGAATTATTAATAAGTTCGCCGATGTTTTCTTTATTCCATTTAATAGAAAAATAGTTATCAATAGATTATAACTTTGTTTAATTGAATTTATTATTTTTAGATTAAGTTCATAGTCAATTGTGTTTGGCCTATAAATACATCTGCAAAGTATCTTTTTATTGTCAATATGCAACCATGTCCAAACTTGCTCTAAGTTGTCATCATTTAACCTTTTATCAGAAACTGTAACAGATTTAATATTTTCTTCGACATATATGCATACTCCCCCTCCTCGTTTACCTACATTACTAATGACATTTCATTAAAATATATAATATAAAATAATATAATAATGAGTAAATTAATTATAAGTATTTAATAATAATAACTAAATGATTAATAAAACAGAATTCTGATCAAAGGAGTGAATTACGATCAAACTAGTTTTTAAATATAATATGTTCAATAATAAGCATACACACATAGAAAATACATAAACATAAGTAAACATTTAAAAATGTTGCCCGTCTAAAACAGACTTGGCAGACAATGCAGGCAATAAGCATTTTTGTGAGCTTTTTAAATAATAAATAAAAAACATTAATTACACTTAATGTATTGCAATGTAATGCAAGTAATTATAAGAAAAGACTTTTTGTAATCTAAACTTGAATGAATGAGTTCAAAACTTTTAAAATTGTTTTATTGTCATGTAATTTAAGTTTAAACAAAGAAATATTACTGTTCATTAAATAAAGCTTTAATTTAAGTTTTAAATAAGCGTGTATTTATTATTTTCACTTTGATTAAGTCGTATTTTAGATATTAAGTTAAAAACACAACTATAAAAATATTGTGTATAAAAAAGTGTATTTTATTTTTAAAAAGTTTTTAATTAAAAAAAATTAATTAAATAGCTTTTTAAAAACTAGTAAAGCTCTTTAATTCTTTATTGTTGTTGTTTTTCTTAAATGTTTTTTAATGAAATTAAAAACATTAAATACTGGTCATTTAAACATAAAGATTTTATTGAAAAAGGTTTTTTTTAAAACATTTTTATTGAGTTATTAACTTTTTTTTACCTTAAAGATGCTCACAAAAAAGTAACAAAAAGCTACACTGGAAGTTTTTTAAATGACTATATAAGTTCATTAAAATTTGGCTACAAAATATTTGTTGGGCAGTGCTAAATGTAATGTTAAACTTTTTAAATTTAGGTGAGTTTATAGCAGTTTAAAATCAAAACTAAATAACTATAAGACAAGTAGTTTAAAACAAAAATAGTTTTATTTTTTATCTCAAGTTGAATTGACAAAATTTTTGAAGATTTTAAATTTTTTTTACTTGATTGCAAATTTGATCATAAAAATACATATTTTAAAAAGTTTTTTTCCAAAGAAACAAAAAAATAAGCAACAGAATAAAAAGTAAATAAAAAATAAAAAGCTTTTTTATTTATTCTAAAAGCAATGCTTAATGTTTTTTTTAATTTATTTATTGTTTTTTTTTTATTAGATTAGGTTAATATACAAATAAAGTATGGGGCATACAATAGCTAAAAACAAAAACAAAATACTTTTTTAGTAACTAACAATTAAAATCTTATATAAAATCTGGCTCAATATTTTTTAACTTGTTTATCATCCAGCTGAAACAATTAGAAATGTGAATTATTACTATAAGCTACACTAGAAGAAATAATCATTTTTCTGTTGATTTCTGCCATCTTGCCATTATATTTCTCTTTATATCATCCATTTTACCATAATATTGATGTCTAGAATCAGTTTTTAATTGGTATTATCATTAATGCTGTACCTAGTGAAAGTTTATGCAGTATTGGTTGTGAAAATTCCTCCTCCTCCCCCTTCCTTCTACAACAAAAAAAAAAAATATTTTTTGATAATTATCTATTTAAAAAGCCCCTATTGTGAATGGTTTGTTTTACCCTTTGGTTATAAGATTTGTTTTAAATGTCTTAAGTACGTATTTTAGATAAATAAATAAAATAAAGAAAAGTTAGCCAAGAAAAGAATTCTTTTCATTCATTTTTTTATCAGTTAATTTATATAATTAATTTCTATTTTAGTTTCTATTATCATTTTAAAACAACACCATGAAAACAAAATGGATTAAAAAAAATAGTATTGATCAAAACTTAAAAAAAATCAAATAGTCGAACTGTTTTTTATGCCAAATACTGCACAAAAATAACCTAAAAATTATATCATATTTTACTTTTATCTCTGTATGGTATGTTAATGACCAGCGTACAAGTGTTTACCTGATATGATTGAATTTTTAAATTTCAAGCTTATATTCTGTTTATATTTATGTTACTATCTGTATCATATGGTCAAAATAGAACAAACTTAGTTTTGGTTTATGTTACTTAATTTTAAAACATCACTCTCTTTAAAATGTATAGATATTTTTAATATAAGCATTTAATAAAAGTATTTAATATTATATATAATCATTATTACCAAATAAACGTTAAAAATTAAATAATGGTTTTAGTTATCATCAGAAACTACAAAATGGACTAATACAATTTTGTTGTATTAACCCTTTAATGAGGTTTTTAAAACTGGTGACAAATAATATCTAGTTAAGTATTTAAATAGTTAAGATTTTTGAAGAAATTCTTTTAAGTAGTTTCAAAAGTGTTTTTAAGTTACCATCCAAATTATTGGATTTTTTAAAAAGTAATCTTGTGAAGATAGTTTAAAATTTTATAAATATCTGTTTTAGATAATTAAGTTTTGTTAATTTATATTGTTATTGTTACTTAATTATTTTAAGGACTATGTTCATGAAGTTATTTGCATCACAGAGCGTGAAAAGTTTCTCATTCCAATTAAAGCAATTGGCCCACGTGGTTTTCTAGATTTTCCTGATCAAATTTATTTTGGAAATGTACCTGTTAAGGTTGTTTTAACATCTTTTGAATAATAAGTGTTAAATATGCATATATATATATTATTTAACAATTATGGTTTATTAATTATAATTTTTTCTTTGCCCCATATACTAATTCAATAGATTTGAAGTTTTTATTTAAAAAATAGCATTTTTTAAATAAAAATTTCAAATCTATTGAATTAGTTATTTATTAGCATTTTTTGATTGTTCATTAATTTATAGTATGATGCCTTAAATTGTGATAATTAAATAATGATTACACAATAATCTCAGATTGTTGTGTAATCATTAGGCTTTTGAATTTTTAGTTTGCTAATAATGCAGTAATATGGAAATTCAATCTAACAAAATATAACATTATATTGCATGCATCAATAGCAAAATTTAGATAAAATAGATTTTATAGAACATATTAACTTAAGCACAAATAACTAAATAGTATGAATAACATAATTAATTAGACAAAGAAATTATGTTGAAGTTTTACAGCTTTATACTAGTTTATTATAAAAAATTATCCTTTGTTCTTTATCATTATTTCTATTACACATTAAGATTGTATTAAAGGATTAGTTTTTAAACTACCACAAGAAAACATCTAAAGTTGTTTAAAATATCTTTTTACATGTTTTATAGCTCAGTAAATATGATGAACACAATACTTTTGTTAACTAAAAAAGTCAGTTTTCTATTAAACAATGTGATGTTTTTTTTTAGTATGAAACAACAAAAATACTTCTGGTTAGGAATATTGGAGATGCTGCAGTCAAGTTTCATTTAATTACTGATAAGTATGATATATTAGAAGTATTATGTCACAAAATATATTACAGTAAAATGAACAATGTGAATGATATAAATAAGCATAAAAAATTATTGGAATAAACTTTGTACATTTTAATTTAACCCATTATATATTTTTGAAGATTACCTTAACAGATCTTTTTTATATAGAAAATTATAATTTTTATATCAAAGTCAAGTCTTGAAAATTCTTTAAAATATCTTTCCTTTCTTTCCAATATTTTTAAGCTGATTATGATAATTATGATTGTCATGTTTAGCATTTTAATTACCACAATTAATTAATTATGAACTAACTTCATTATCTAAATAACAAATTTTTAATTGACAGCTTTTTACCCAAATGTTTGGTATTTTTTACTAATGCACAAAACAGTCACTTGTTTAAAAAAAAATGAAATAAACAACAGTAATATGCAACATTCAATCAAATTTCCTAATGACTTATTTTACAATTCTAAATATGTTTACATATTTTATAGTTGTCAATAGAAGTTGATTATTTGCAAATATACTGCCACACGTATCGGTGGACAATTAAAACTGCAAAACTCCCCTAGTTATATAAAATATTTTTTTCAATTGTTATATCAATTTTTTTAGGCCATTTTTCCTTCAACCTGATAACGGAGTTTTAGAAGTGAGTCAAAGTATGCAAATACATGTCAAAGTTAATCCACAAATAAATGGGTCATTCAATAAGTCATTGATTGTTCACTATGACACAGGTAAGGAACAAGGTTTTTACAAATATCACAACTAATTTTGTAATCAGTTCATTTGCTCAACAATTTATTAAATATTATATGTATAAAAAAAGTCACCTTTAAAATTTGAATCTATTTTTTTTTCCAAGAATTTAAATAATGGTTAAAAAAAAAAGTGAATTATTAATAAAGTATCATTGCTAATTTTGATAGGATTTATCAAATTTCAAAATAAGCTTCACAAAAACAGCTTGTTTATAAAAAAAATTATATAAGCTAAGATGTTTACTAATTGCTATGTGTACAATAGAGTACTTGTTTTTAACTAAGTGATGCATTTTTTAAGTTTAATAATATAGTTTATACTATAATTATATCAAATATAATTATTAACTTTAGAACTATACAAGTTATAGTAATTTGATATAACTAATAATATATAAGTAATATAGCTTTTGATATTTTACCTGCATATTTTTTTTTGAGATTTTGAAATTTTAAATTCAATTTTTTAGATTGCAACTACAAATTTCGTTTTAACCCTAGTTTATTTGTAGTAAAAAAAAATAAAGTTTAAGATAGAAAAATAACAATATTGTTGTTACCAATAGGTGAAGATGTTTATATTAATATGTTTGTTGATGCTGAAGACATAAATATTCGATTGGATAAAAATACAATTAAACTAGAAAATACCTACATTACTAGTTCTTCAAGAAGGTTTACCATTTTATATCTAGATTATAATGAAGTAGATTTTTCTGTATAGTTTTAAATTTAAAAAGCTTTTTTATTTTTTAAATGTTAAAAAGTGTATACATTGTTATAATAATTGGATTGCTTTCATTAGATCATTGATGTTATTTAACCGAAGTGAGTTTGTCATTAATTTTTCATGGAAGACATTTGCAACAACTGCTGAAGAAGAGCAAAAAAAAAATTTGTATTTTTTTAAATTAAAATTTTTTTTTTATACTTTAACTAATTTTTAATTTTAATATTTTTTTTTTTAATACTTTAACTAATTTTTACTTTTAACACTTTTTTTCTTCATGTAACACTCAACTTCATCGTTTGTAAAATTCAACTTCATTGTTTATTTATTTATAAAAAATAACATTAAAAATTTTTTTTTTCTGGCATCAGGGTTGGTTGATTAAAATTACATTGACTTAAATCAAGATTGAAATCAAATGATTTTTTTGGATAACTCATGATTTAAATCAAATTTTTCTTTTATGTTTGATTTTAGTAATAAAAAATTATTTAAAAACATTTTTTTATCATATTTTAAGATAAAATGAAATAAATATAGCAGAACTATGTTTTTATAGAATTAATGATAAAAAGTATACTGTAAAAATAAAATAATACAGTTACATAACACAAAACAAATCAATTAACATAATCATCCATTAAAAATAGAATTTTCCTGTGTACTGCATTAAAATTATTCTCCTGTGTATGGCATTAAAATTAATCATTAACATCAAATTAAATAATTTTTTGCTGATTAATTGGCTTGAAGAGCTCAAAAACTTTTTCTGTACCCAGTCTATTTCTCAGTTTTGATTGTACTGAGCCAAAAGAAGAAAAAATACATTCAACTCCTGCAGAAGAAGCTACTGCAATTCAATTCAATTGCAAAATTGTATTTAATGTTTTACTTTTAATGTTATCACAATGTGAGCTCCATCACTGAGCAGATGGTAATGCTGCTAAAACCTCCGAGCTAAATTCAAATTCTAGGAATTTAAATTTGTTAATTGTATTAGCTAAATAGGCATCTCTGGTTTCAGTTGTATGTGTAACACACATATTTTTGTGAACGTTTGAACAACCATCCAGTGCTATATTTGCAATCTCTCCATTTAGAGCATCTTATATTTTACCCTTTTCTTGATCAAACACTATTGGTAGGAGTTTCTCAGATACCTTCTTTCTTGTTTGACTATTATAGCCTGGTCTCAACATCTACATAAGTTTTTGGATGTTCAACTAATTGAAATGATGAATTTGTTGCAAAAATCATTGCAATTTTCTTATCAAGCCTTTTTGACTCTGACTTGTCTAATACCATGTGACAATAACCCAGACCAGAGCACTTTTACTTAATATACTGTTACTAATTATATTTTTTGCTGTTCGTGATTTTTTTGTCTACATTTAAATTAAATTTTTATGTTGTTTTTTAAATTTTTATGATGATTCTGAGGGTTGCTTTGTAACATCAAATTGACTGTTGGAAGATGCAGTTTGAATTTAAATTTCTAAAAAAACAATATTAATTAAATAATACTGATTACAAACAATAATTTATTATTATATAGTTTACGTTATATCAAATTCTGTGTTTTTTTGTGACAACATTTATTTAAGTACACTTTCATTCTTGCCATCAGCCCCTGCAGTTTTTTGCATATCCTACATCTTGATTTACATCCTTTACCACTTTTTGTTTCAAGTGTTTTAAATTTGACCACACTAGGTTAGTTCTTCTTTTAGATTTTTTTGTTTATGCTTAATATGTTTTAAATATTTTTTAGCAAGATATAATTAATAGCAAGAGTTTTAAACAGTTTTAGAGTAACAAAAAAAAAAAAACTCAGAAAATCTAAAAATCCAGAAAATCCTCATACAATAGCATAGTGTGGATAGCTAGTGGCAAGAAAGTTGCTGGCTTTGGACAGCAATAAGATTTTTAATTGTTATTTTTTTTCTTATTTTTCCAAAAAAAATCATATGATTTATTGGAAAAAATCACCAATTGCCTATCTATATACACACTATGGTGTAAATATATATATGAATAAATATATATAATAAGCTTTTATTTAATATAAGGAAAAAAAAAAAAAAAACTATTATTAATATATTACTGGTCATCAAAATAATTTCCTTGGTTGTCTATGACTTTTTGCCATTTAATAACCAACTTGTATGTCCCATGTCAAAAAACCTAGGCTTAATAATAGGCATTTAGCTGATTTCTTAAATCATTTTTTTAGGAAAGGATTTTTTTATGCAAGAAATGCTCCATTGAACAGAACACATGGTAATCTGATGGTGTCAAATTTGATGCCATCAGGTTACCTTTTGTTTACAAATGGTAATCTAGTGGCACATATTTATAACCTAGGTCTATAATTTGGTTCTTGGTTCTTGTTGCAACATGTGTTGTGCATTGTCATGCAACATTATAACTTTATGGATTTCATGATCTGGTCCAGACCTTTTTTCCAAGATTTTTTCATTCAATCCTCTCAATTGTAGCAAATACTATTTAGAATTAATAGTTTGCTTTAGTTCCAGCAATTTATTGTATATTATACCTTTGATATCCCACTTAACATAAAGCTTTAACTTTTTTTTATGAATATTAAATTTAAGCAATGTAGCTGCTGATTGACAAGAACTCAACCACTATTTTTAGTTGGTAGAATTTTCATAATAAACCCACTTTTTATCACTGGTTATAATTTTTCACAACATGTCCTTTTTTTTAAACAGAAGACAAATAAAGGTGTTCACGCGCTCATTTATCAACCTCTTTATCCTTTCCTAATCTTCTGAACCTTGCCCATGTCAGGTAAACATTTTCAAACTGTTGTATGTCTAATTCTTAGTTATTCAGCTAATTCTCTTGTTGATCCTGATGGGTCTTCCTTAATTAATACCTAGTTTGTTTGTCTCCAGTTCCTGAGGCCTACCTGACCGTTCCTGGTCCTCAAGATTAAAGTTTTTACTGCAAAACCTAGCAAATTTGAATATTAAAAGCTGAATCTTGTAAAGTATATTTAAAATGTATCTTTTCATGGGACTTTTTCTAAATTACCGATTGATATATAAAAATATAGTTTAATATTCGAATTTATTGTTTTTAATGTATAAAAATATTATTTTTTTAAGTTCATACCTTCTTATAGAATAAGTATTGAATTTAACTTTAAAAATTAAGTGAATTTACTTTTGCACTGAATTAATATATACATATCTGTCATATACATAAATCTAAAAAAGTACATTGTTAGTTGCCTGTATTTCTTTCCTTGCTGTTGTTGAGGAAGTTGCTTTTGTTTAATGGTAAAATGATCCCTAATCTTGTATATACCTTGTTTATATTTTATCATATTAATTTATCTGATATACAATCTTAAATCTGTATCAAAAAGCTTTTTGCATTAAGTTTTTTACATAACAACAATTTTTTTGTAGGCGCTTTAAACAATTAAATCCATCAATTTCAGATGATGCTTTTTTAAAAGAATGTGTATCAGATCCTACAATGAGAGATAAACTATCACTTGTGGTTCGATCACTAAAGAATCAAATAAGTGTAAGTTTGTTTGCAACAAATTTTTTATAATAAGTTAAAATTACGTTTATTACTTGTTACGTTTATTATTTGTTTATTATTTGTTGTTTATTATTTGTATATTAATTATTACTACGTTTATTATTTGTTGAAAAACAATTGGTATTAGAAATATTTTTAATTTGTTTGTTTAAAGTTTACTATTAAAACATCAAACTATTTTTTTTTATTATTATTCTGATTCACTCACAACAAAGCTGCAAGCAACCACTATTAAGTTGAGAGTTGAGAGAAAAAAAGAATGGAGTTATGGAGAAAAGAAAAAGTTGTCGGAAGACTTGAAAAGATGAAGGTTGTATGGGCCGGGAAAACATGGAGGTGGGAGAAAGTTCCAAAGGTGTTGAGGTTCTGGGAAATAAACTAGACAAATAAAAGTTTTTAGAGCATGCAGGGACAGATACAGAAAAAATGAGACTTTGCTGAATGACAAGTCGATCGTGAATGAGTTTTAGTTGATGGAACTAGAAATGATAGCTCTTTTGAGGAGAAAATGACAACAAATATGGCAACAGTATTCCATACAGAGATAAATATGACAACAGTATTACATACAGGGACAAGTAAGAGATTTGTAAAGGTAGAGAATGGAATCAGGAGAGATTGAACAAGATGGTGAACTCGATAAAGAGAAGCAACCTTAGTATATGCTAATTTAGCAATCGATTGTATATATGGTATCCATAAAAGGTCAGTAGTAACAATAATCAAAGAAGACTTAAAAAAACTCAAAGACCTTTTTAATATCAGAAAGAAGACTGATTGGACAATAACTTGAGGGGTCAGAATTTTTACAGATTTTTTGAAAATTGGAGCAACAGATGCCATTTTCCAGCAGCAAACAAGACTCAGTTAAATACTTATTAAATAGTCTAGAGAGAATTGAAGAGAGTTCTGAAGAACAATTTGTAAGACTATGACAGGAATGTTGTCTGGATCACAAGCGGTAAAAGAGTTTAATCAAGACATGACTTAAGCAACAGAAATTGGAATGGTTTGAATGTCTAATAGGCCGGCGTCTGAGGCATAAAAATCGTTCTAAAATAAGACATCCGTTATACCCATTTAGTAACTAAATTTTGAAAAAAGTATTTTGAAGAGCTAAAAAAACTAATTCAACTCCCAAAAGATCCCAGATTTTTAAAATCCCAAAGACCGGGTAAATTGAGGTCAAAGTTATGGTGTATATAGAAACCATCAAATAGTTTTAACCAGGACGGTTTCTACTAACAAAAAAAAACTGATTTTTTTTTTTTTAAATTAATTACGCCCAAATAATTAATTTTTTTAATTTCAAATTTAGTAAATATATTCTTCAATAAATTGCCTAAAGTAAAAAAAATAATTGGATGCTTTATGTTACAAATAACCTAGGTTTCAGACCTTTTTATTTTTGATCTGTTTCCAAGGGAGCTTAACTGTTGATATTTTTATGTTATGCTTCAATGAAGAACAGTAACTAAATTGGTGATTTTTAATTACAACCAATTTTAAAGAGTGGTTTCAATTACAATTATTGTTAACTGAATTTTTAATTTATCTTTCTAGTGATTATATTGAGTTAATGAGAGGAAATAATTTTCTGATCATTGAATCTGATTACGATAATAATGATATGGGCGAGATTATATTAATAATCTAGCCCATATCATTATCGTAATCAGACTCAGATTCATTTGGTTCATCTGGATATTTGTCGTCATCCTCTTCTGGATGGTTAACACCATGATTGTTGCAACCATTACATTTGCAAAGGTCTGAGCAAATTACACCAGCTTTATTACAAGAACATCTTTTTGTAGAGCATTCAAGGCGGCAATACTAGTGAACAAAATTAAACATTGAAGCTGGCGCAGCAGGCAATTCCATCCAATATATAGCAATAGAACCTTGATCATTAAACCAACCATTTCCGAAAGGACTTGTAGGGCTAATTTCAACTATATGTGAACGCTTTCTGATGAAAGTTTTCCTTTAGTTCAGTGGTCCTTAACCTTTTTTAGTCATGGACTACTTTCAAAATTTGGCGGAACCCTTCCAAAGTTAATTCAATTAGGTTGTTTATAAATCTATATAGGAAGGAAAAAAAACATTTACGGACCCCAGCATGACAATTTTGTCAAGCTGGGTCCGTAACCCCATGTTAAAAATGCCTGCTTTAACGGGAGACACCTTTAATGTAGATAATTGGGCTATAGTTAAGTATAATGGTTAAAAATCGAACAAATTATTGATAAAACTCAAATCGCCTAAGTATATCAGAATATAACAATTGGGTTTAGCCAAATGCACAAGATGCTATTTTTTATAGTATCAAAATGTTAAAAAACATTTGTACTCCAATTGTTTTGTGGTCAGTCTAGTTGTTTAGAATTCTAGCTTTTAGGCAATTACTATGATCTAAATGTAATTTTAAAAAAAGCAAAGGTCTTATTTTTGAAAAATAACATTTTAAAGGACCAAAGCCATACAATCAATATCACAAAGCCAAACTATCAATATCACTGTCAATATCAAATGTGAGACAAAATAACTATATATAGTATTGTATATTTTATTTAAAAAAATTATTCATAGATAATTTACATATAAATAAATGCACTTCGTAAAAAAAAAAAAATCATGTCTTTTGCATATTTCCATTGTTGCATATTTTATCTAATACTAGGAATATTAATATTAGGAAAAATCTCTTGACACCAAAAAATATCATGCAATTAAGAAAAAAATATATAACTACACATTTTTTATACAATTATAAAACTATTTTAAAATATTTAACTAAAAATAAATATAAGAATTACTTCAGCAAAAAGTATTTTTTATAAGTATTTATTTTTTATAAGTATTTATGGAATTTCTCTCATAATACCACGCCTTCAAAATGAACATCTCGAAATAAATCATTTCATTTCATCCGCAAAAAACTGTTTAAAAGTTTTCTAATTGTATTTCTACTTTTTTTTCTGTAATATAGCTAATATACTCTCTACATGCTGATACTCAATTATCTTCACTAGTACGTTCTACACACTCAACTCATCCTAACCTTTTCTGGTGCACTTTTTTTTGACTTACGCTCAATATTATAAATCTCTGTCTAAAACTTCTATTTTTTTTAAATTTAGAATAAATCCACAAATCCATAACATTGTTATCTCCTTTGATCTTTCAGGAAACTTAAAATCATTTGCCTTCTACATTTGGTAGCTTTACTGCCATATATAACACAAGACGTATGTGGTATAAAACTTTCCCTTAATCTTTGAAAATGAATTAACACCTAGACACACATAGTTTTTGTCCTTGATACATCTACTGCTCTTTCTGTTGATCCAATTGGACCTCCAAGATACAGATCTTAACAACACACTTTATTTTTCTGCCACAGCCTATTTTCATTTATCAAAACCAATTCTTTAGGAAAACCATCACAACGATTTAAAAATTTATTTTTATTTTGAATTAGCTAAATAAAAAAGATTTCTAACTTCTAAAAAAGATTTTTCTAACTTCTAAAAAATATATATATATATATATATATATATATAATATATATATATATATATATATATATATATATATATATATATATATATATATATATATATATATATATATATATATATATATATATATATATATATATATATATATATATATATATATGTATATATATACACACACATATATATATAATATATATATGTGTGTGTGTATATATATATATATATAATATATATATATATATATATATATATATATATATATATATATATATATATATATATATATATATATATATATATATATATATATATATATATATATATATATATATATATATATATATATATACACCTTGTACAGAAAGTTTAAACGCACTTGTTTTTTTTAAAGTTAAGGTATGTTTAAAGTGATACAAAGAGAAAACATGAGGCAGGGTCCAGGTTTTTTTTTTTTAATATTCTTAGTCGATTATTAATTAAGAAAAAAACACAACTTTAAATAAGAAAAACACAAAATCTTTTCTGAAATTAAACAACAAACTCAAGTAATCAAAAGATTACTTAGAAGAAATTGCAATAAAGTTTAAACGCACATACAACTCCTTTTAATCGAAATATATTAATATGGAATATGACCCCCGTTGTTTTTAATACATGCTTGTATTCGCCTAGACATTGATTCGATTAAGTTTTCAATCATCTTGATTGGTATTTCAAGCCACAGTTTGGTCAGTTCTTGTTTGAGCATTTTGTGACTAGTTATTTGCTTTTTTGTTAGTTGATAATCCATCAAGCTCCATAAATTTTCAATTGGGTTCAAGTCTGGTGATTGTGCTGGCCAAGGCATAAGTTGAATATTACTTTTAAGGAAATAATCAGTGATTGAATGCGCTGTATGGCATGGAGCATTGTCTTTTTGAAATAACCAGTTTTGATCAGCATGGAACAAATCGCGACTAGGGATAAGCGTGTTTTCCAAAATGTCACGATACTCATACTGGTTTAATTTTCCTTCGTATATTTTATGACAGCCAACGCCTGAGCCTGATATACATCCCCATATGCCGATGGAACCACCGCCTTTTTGAATGCGGCTAAATAGATGTTGCTTCAAATCTTTTTCTGTATTTTTTCGACAAACAAATCTCTTGTTTTTTCTGTTAATAATTTCGAAATTTGATTCATTACTAAAGATTTTCCATTGTTCTACTGAATAATTTAAACGCTCTTTGCACCATTTTTTTCGTCTTTGGCGATCGGTTAACGTCAACAATCGCTTTCTTACACAATGAAATGAATTTAATTCTTTCTTGCGTAATAACTTACTTATAGTCATTTGACTAACTGTTTTGTCTACCAGCGAACTATTGATTTCTGCACTTAAAGTTGATACTCCCGCTTTTGGTTTACGTCTGCTTAGCATGTAAAGCATGTTTTCATCGCGTGCTGTCAGTTTTTTCGGATGCCCAGTACGAGGTTTATTATTGACACTACCAGTTGATAAATAATTTTTTGTTGTTGAGCGAATGCTGAATTCAGAAATATTTAGGCGTCTGCCAAATTCTCTATTGCTTATTTTCATTTTATGCATTCCAATGACTTGCCATTTTGTTTTCGACGAAACAGCTTTTTTACCCATTAAAATATGATATTTTGACAAAGCTGTATCAGTTGAAAATTGCTATATTTTAAATCAAATCGTATTTGTGGTTTTTATTCTAAATAACATAAGCTAGGATACAAGAATAGTAGAATGAGGCTTGACTCAGAATTGTCAAGAAGAAATAAAACTTTCATTCCTGCCTGAATCCAGGAAGTTATGTAAGAGACACATTTTTCAGCTGAGAGAAAAAAGTCATGAGCTCAAGACTATTATGAAGAATTCCGTTCAGCTTTAGGGTAGTAATAAGTAGTGCGATGATAGGGTGAGTCCAAAAAAGGAAGTACGATATGAAAAATTTAAAGAGATCATTGTGTGGTCAGAACCACCTAAAAAAGAAAAAAGGAGAAACTGAACATAAGCTAGGATACAAGACATAAATTAAGGAGTGAAGGTAAATGATAAGGGTTGTCAGAAAAATGAGCCACAAAGTTATGCAATCAGCAAACTATCTGATTAAGAAATTTGGAAATGCAGAAGTTATAGATTTTAGTGCCAGCAGGGTCAGTGACATCAGAAGGATGCTATTCAGTGTGATAAGTATTAAAGTCACCAATAACAATAATATTGGCAGAGGGGTAAAGAAAGAGTCACCAATAACAACACATAAAAGAATGGTCAAAAGATTCAAACCTGATTTTATGACAAATAAATGAATTGATGTGTATTTATACTCCCAAGCAAAGCATGTGAATATTGGAGTCTTTGCAAATCAAAGAATAGTTCCCATCAACACTGAGATCAAAAAAAGGAATAGCAGAATTTAAATTAGTATTACTAAGAGTAGGCAAGTCTGGTGAATTTTACAAGAGGTAATATTCAACTGATGGAAGGTTGCTTTGCAGACCATGAATAATAATAAAAGATATATTAAAACAGTTGGGTGGTGGGAATGGTTTTTTATGTTTAATATCTTTGGTTACTTTTGGCATGATTTAAGTTTATCGAACTAAAGGTTTAATAAAATTTATTAATTTATATAAAATTTTTAGCAAAAGTTTTATATAAATTTTATATAAGCAAAAATTATTTTTAGTAAAACTTTTATATAAGCGAAAATTCAAAATTTTTTTTTCAAAAGATATTTTTATAAATGTGTTAAAATAAATTTATAAAAATATTATTTTACAACTTTAATAAAAAATTAAAACATTTTAAAATGTTTTTTTAAATTTGTTAAACTTATAACTTGAGTTTAAAAAGTATAATTTAAATTTAATTAAGTTTTTTTATTAAAAAAAGTGTTTCTAGCTGATAAATTTTAGTAAGTTGACTTTTGAAATTAACGGCCATTAACGTCCGTTAAAATAAGTTAACAGCTGTTAACGGAAAAACCGTTTATAAATTTTAACGTAATGGATTTTAACAGAAATTTTGTTATGGAAATTTTGCAATGGAAATTAACGGTTTTTAACGGACTGCCAAATGCCCATGTTAACATCTACCCAAGATAAGTACTTTTATCGAGACACCATCTCTAGCCTATACTCAACCAAGAGCTCCAAGGCAAGGAATTTTTAAGTGTGCTTTTTTACGCAAAGGCTAGGAGAAACAAACTAAGTTTGTTTTTAAGTTTGTTTCTCCTAGCCTTTGCCTAAAAAAGCACACTCTACAAGGCATTAGGGCATGAGACTGGTAGTACTGGGTTACATAATACCAGCAGCAGGGTGATCATGATAATCCTGAACTTGTTTAGGATTATCATGTTACTTCCCTTAAACAGTACTTCAAAACATTGGGCATGATGTTTTGGAAATGCATTAGGAAAAATACTACATCTAACAAAATACTAGAGATATGGGTGTGCGTAGGTTATATAGTTGTAGTGTCTAGTTAGTTAATGAGCTCACACTGCATCAAAACAGATTTAAACATTTAAACAGAGCAAACAGTAACTAAGGCACCTAACTATAACTATAACAGTAACTAGGCACCTCTAACTATATAAAGACACACAATCAAAAAAAAAATAAATATATATATGTATATATTACTATAGCCATGACCGGTTTTAAATAGTACTGATGACAGGAAGCAAACTCCTTCCAGCCTTTGCTTAGAAAGCAAATCCCACAAGGCAGCAGGAAACAGAACAGGTTGCACTGGGTTACATGTTACTAGTAGCAGGATCATCATGAAGACCATATACCTGACCAAACAAAAATTAATATTTAACAAAAATATTTGGAATTTCCAATAGTTTATTTGTTTCCATAATTCTATATTATTTTTTGATATTTAGATTTCTAATGATGATAAAATGTTGTATGAAGATGAGAATATTATTATTGAGCCATTGGTAATTGATTTAGTTTTCCATTTTTATTGAAATTATTAAAAATTTATTTCTATTGTATGGTGTAATACTTTTATATACTACCATTTATATCTGTTATTAAATCCTACCATTTATATCTATGTAAGCACAGTTTATTTGTTATTGGTTACAATGTTTGGAATTTGAAATATTTACAAGTAAAGAATTCATCTATCTGTATTAAATTATTTCAAATTTACATTTGAGAAAATTAAGATAGTGAAACCCTAGTGTAATCTCCCCTGTCTAAAGAAAAAAGAATATTCTTGCCCTTGTGTAAACTCCCCCTTTTGAAAGAAGAGAAAACATTCTTACTCTAATGTAACCTCCCTCTTTTTATAAAAGAGAGAAAGTTCTTACCCTAGTGTAACCTTCCCTAGTGTAACCTCCTCTTTTCTTAAAAAGAGAAAAATTTCTTTATACCATGCCAATATTTTTGTAATGAACTTTTATCAATATAAATTTTTGCCATGCCAATATTTATGTAATGAACTTTTATCAATATAACTAATAAAAAAAATCTTTTTTCCCAATTCAGGTAACCCCATCAGTTTTCATCGTTTATTAAAAAAAAAATACTCTTAGATATAAATAGTAATACTTCACTTAATAGAAAAAGAAAAACTTTGGTTAATTGAAATAGATCCACGTTTATTTTTTTTTTTAAATGTCATAAAATTATGTTATTGTTAAAGTATATTTATAATTATCTGACTGTCTGATTATACATCTGACTGTCTAATGTTGAATCTAACTGTCTAATGTTGAATCTAACTGTCTAATGTTGCATCTGACTGTCTAATGTTGCATCTGACTGTCTAATGCTGCATCTGAGTGTCTAATGTTGTATCTGAATGTTTACTGTGTTTTTAGCTGAAGCAATTATCTGACTCTCAAATGTTGCATCTGAATGTTTAATGTATTTTTTGCTAAAAAAAATTACATAAAAATTGAAGTTTATTATCTTCATAATCTTTATTGAAATGTTAAACATTGTTTTATATTTTTTAGTATAATATAATTTTGTTAAATATTTTTAGGAAGGTGAGATATGGCCAAATTCTTCAATAGAATTTTTTGTAATATTTAAACCTTCAGAAGCAAAGCATTATTCATGCATAATTTATTGTGATGTTAGTGGTAGAGAAACACGTTTGCCTTTAAGAGTACAAGGCGAAGGAGTTGGTCCAAAAATACAATTTTCATATGATGTGTTAGATATTCAAAATGTATTTATGAATTCCTGTCACATTTATGAGGTAAGCATGTTTTACTATAATTTGTAATTTTCTTTTATCAATTTTTAACTTCAAATTTTTTAATATCAGTTAAACACAATGAAGTTCAGTTCCTTTTAATTCTTAATTACTCAAAACTACTCAAAAAGTTTTTTTTATTTTTTTTTGTACGCAGAAGCTAATGTGTTGTTTGATTGTAATGGTAATGAGTATTCATTATTATTATTAGTGGATAAAAACATTTTAAATAAAAAAAAAAAGATTTTTTTTTTAAATTCCATCATTGTTACAAGTTGACATTTTAAAATTGACAAGTTTTTTTCAATATTCAGTTGGATTTATTTTGTAGCAATATAAACAGATTCAATCTATTGAAAAAGAAGCTGAATGTGGGAAAAAGAAAAGTTTTTCAGACAAATCAGAATTAAAAGATAAAGCTAAATCTATAGTTTCCCCAGTCGCAGATAGATCTTGTGAGAAAATTTTGCAATCAAGAATGGTAGAAAAAAATACATCAAAAAAATACATACAAAAGCATATCATAAAAAAACAACTCCAAAGTGATTGAGAAATTGAAATCATTTTTTGTTCAAAAAGTTGTATAAAGTTTTAAACCAAACCTGTTAAAACCTGTGCATAATTGAAGATGGTAAAACCTATTGCAAAAAAAACTTTTTACAATTGCCAGGCCAGCAATATTTTTATCAGTGGAAAAATGAATATGTGGCCAAAAAATTCAAGTATATTCTATATTAAGAAGTTTGCTCCTAAGTTTCTTATATGGCAAGCAATCTGCTCTTGTGGTTTAAAAAATACACCATACATTACTTGTAAAACTTTGAATGGAGATTTTGTATATAAAAGAATGTTTAAAGAAATGCCTTTTGCCATTCATTAAAAATAATAATATGCCCACAATATTTTTGCCTGATTTGGCTACAACCCACTACTCCAAGAAGTCTCTAGACACTAGTCACCAGTTATTGAAAGCTTGTTAACTTGGCTATAGTAATATATACATATATATTTATATTTTTTTTGATTGTGTGTCTTTATATAGTTAGAGGTGCCTAGTTACTGTTATAGTTATAGTTAGGTGCCTTAGTTAACAGCAAGTTATTGGAAGTTATTATTCAATTATAAAAGAAATCTTATTAAATAGCCAGAAATTAGTTCAGATAAAAAAGATTTTAATAAAATAAATGGCTTCAAAAAATTAGCAGATGTCACGTACTTGCAAAAAAAATAATTCAAAGCAAAAATTAACAGATGATATTAGGTACTTTTAAAAAAAATAATTCAAAGCAAAAGATTAGCAGATGATGTTATGTACTTGCAAAAAAAATAATTCAAAGCAAAAATTAGCAGATGATGTTATGTACTTGCAAAAAAATTAATTCAAAGCAAAAATTAGCAGATGATGTTACTTGCAAAAAAAATAATTCAAAGCAAAAGTTAGCAGATGATGTTATGTACTTGCAAAAAAAAAAAATTTGGTTTCAATTAAAGGCTGCCTAATTTCATTGTGTTCAACCAATATTGTTTTTATAAGAATTTTAAAGATAAATCTAAAAATTATATTAACAGGCAATATGCAAAAGCAAATAGTAAAACAATTTGTTGTTGTTGACATTAACTGTATACCATCCTCAAATATGTATTGTTTTTTAGATGTTTGTGTTTACTTGAGATAAATTTTGTTTATTTATTCATTTTTATTACAACGTATAGACAATTCAAAAAATATTGTAGAATATTTTTTGAGTTGTTTATATTAAATTTATTAAATAAAATTTAAAAAATGAATAGGATTATGTAACAATATTCAGTATGTATATAATATCTATTTAAAAATTAAATTTTTTTAGTTTAAATTAGATATTGTTGTTCTTGAACTTATACTTTTTTTGTAGTCTTTTTTTTTTTTAATTTATGTGTTATATTTATGTATAAAATTAAATACAGAATGTAGATTCGGCGTTAATATTCAAAATAATTATACATTTAATGAATCAATATTGGATGTTTATCCACACTGCATAAATTTACAAATGTAGAAAAATAATTAATTAACATTATTATTTATGGTACAAAAAAGATTTTAATTTCATTTTAGTTTTATAACATAAATTTGTATGAAGTATAAAGTTTTTGATAAAGTTTAGCATGCTGGTCTTCTCCATAAGCTTACTTTATATAGTGTAGAAAAGTTGATCTAGAAAAGTTTTCGAGTTAAATCGCATTGGTTCTTTATTGTTGTCTTGAAGGTAAAAAGGAGTGAAATTACTGGTGATAGAAATAAAAAAAGTAATAAAGTTCAAATTAAATTGATAAAGTTTTGTATAAACTTTTTCTAAGCAGTTCTAAAAAATTCATTCATTTCAAAAATGTACCTTGTAATTACTTCTAATGACATTTGTTAGTGTTTTAGTGTCTTTATAGGTCATTTCAGGTGTGATAAATCTGTCATGTAGCCTCATTTAGTTGCATCGATTTTAAAATTATCAATTAGTGACCATAACATTTGATAATGGGCTTGTATTTGTTTCTCCATACGACAAAATGAAGCCTTTAATCAAAGCATTTCCAACTTCTTTTTATTACTTCATGGGCTGTTAATTATTTCTAATATTTGTTTTTATTTCTCTTCCAATTTGTTTTCAAACAATTTTGTTTTACTTTTTCCAAACTCAAAGGATACAGTAGCAGCCTAACCATGCATGGATAAAGAGCAGGTGTTATCCTTGATACTCAAAGCTCAATCTATTTTGATAAAATAAATGCCAATAAAATATCTTTTTTTCTTGAATTTTCTTTCAGGTGGCCTAAGAAAACCTAACGGTCTTGTTACAGAATACCAAGTGTTTTTAATTAGAAAGTTCATGCCTTCTTTCTTACTGACGATTTAAAATATGTTCAGAACTCATATTGAACCGTGAGTCTCTTGATTCTATAGTTGGCACTTTAACCACTGAGTCATGATTGCTATATCTGTGTAGCTACATACTGCAATCTTGTGTTTGTAATATCAGAAGTTATTTTTACAATGTTGCTGTCAGCATCATCAGAGCGCTTAACAATAAAAAACTCAGGTTGTTTAAAAAGTTGTGAAAGTTAATTTATGAAGTTGGCTTTATTATTACTTAAAAAATGATCCTGAGTAAATGGCATAAGGTTCTCTTGGCAGATAGCTACCTTGAAGCTATGTAAAATAGAATTTCAGCGTAGATGCTTTTGACTTTTTGTACCTTCATCTCTTCAGTTTTTTTAGAATGTTTGTCACACTATCACTTTTCGAATGGATTGTTTGTTTGACTTTCTTATCATGCCTTGTTTAAAAAATGACATTGGCTTGTAAGTCAATTCAAATTCAAAGATTGGTTCTAAATAATCTTTAAGTGTTGCAACAGTTTTTAGTTGGCTGAACATTATGCTTGGGTCTCCCATTTCCTCCTTACTATTGTAAGGAGGAATTAAGAGACCCAATTTGTAACCCCTGGTGACAAAAATTTGGCACAAAATAAACACAAGCAGTAATAGTACAACAAAAAATTTAATGAACAAAAAATTAGTACAAAATATTAACCATTATATTAGTTTTTTACTTTTGGGACTGAAATAATGCTTTCTCACCATTACGACGTACTGCATCAACTTTTTTGTTTAGATGTTTGCACATGCTTTATACAATAATTTTATCAACTTTTCTTAAACAAGAATGGAATCTTTTTTGCAGCTGATCTTAATTTCAGCTTCCTAATTGTTTTCATACATGTAGCATTTAAGGATTGACCAGAAATCTTCTATTGGTCAGGGACAAAAGCCAGGTTATTAACTATTGTTACATAACTGATATTTTTCTTATAGAGGTAATTGGTCACACTTCTTGCAAAATGTTAAGAGGCCACGTCAGGCCAGAATACATAAATACCATCACTGCAATGTTTGTTGATAAAAGGAATCAATTGTGTGATGATGCAATCATTTTTTTACACTGTTTAGTTAATTGCCAGTCTCGCAGGAACAATAAATGGTTTTGAGATTCCACAAGGGGATATGGTAATCCACACAAAAAAAAAATTTTTAGTTGCTTTTGCGCTTATAGTTTACATTTTTTAGTGCATTTTTGGCTTCATCTGAGTAAAATCCAGCATTAGAATTTTTATTTGTATGTTTAAATATAAAATAAGACTCTTTTTGGCACTGACAAAATTATGGTTTCTGAATTTGTGACAAATTTTTCCACACTTTATGATCACACTTGAATTTATTTACTATTTTTCTTGTTGAAGTTCCAGATCGGTTGTTCAAAAGACCTTTCATGCGATTGATGTTCCTAGCAGTCATAGGCTTACAAGACTTTGGCTCATTGTTCTTCCACTTTTCCATATAACGTTTGATGGTTTTTTCGGGTTGATTAGGAGCAACAAAACACTCTACAATGCTCTTCGTTTTAGCAATAGGATGCAAATTACAATAATTGTACACTTGTTCAATTAATGTAGATAGCTTCATTTTCGAATTACTTTTTTATTAATTAATCTAAGTAAACAAAACTTTCAGTAAAAGATAACTAACACTTTATAAACAAAAACAACTAAAAAAGTAAGACTGGATAACTAAAAATTCAATAAGTTTTATCTTCTCAAAAATTGTGCCAAATTTTTGTCACCAGGGGTTACCTTTTCTTGCAGCAATGAGTCCAATGTTATGAATTAATTTTTTTTTTTTTAATTTTTGTGTTGTTAAAGTAGATTTTGTTGATCCCATTCTAGATTTTTTTACCAAATATAAATTGAGAATAAAAGTTAGAAATAAAATTACAAATTTTCTTAGGGGTCGTCTATAAATTAGTTCATGCAATTTTTGACAACTTTAAATCTACCCCTCTCACCACATCCCCATCCCTCTCCCTTGTAACAAGTCATCACTTTTAACTAAACTCTTCCTCCCCCCCCCTCCACTCTCTAAAATTATGCATCAAGTTTATACTCATTCCTCCCTCAAAATTTTTTTTTGGT